TTTTGCATCTTTGCTCATGTTGAAATATTCTGACTTGAGTCACTGTACTCACTGAGTTTGGTTGCAGTTACACTCCAGCTAGCCAAATCAAGAGACAGAGCACGGGACAATCATTCTGATCCAAGGCAAAAAGCACCCTTGAGAGATATCACTGGAAAATAATATTACATTATATTATGACTTGTGACCACCAGCTTCTGAAATCTGTCCGTTGATATCAGTTTTCATAGATTGCTAAGTAATATCAACTGCGTGAAGTCATTCAGCTCCCAGTGGGGTCGCCACATCCATGTTATTCCAGAATAGAATCTGGGCTGCATGGTGGCTCCTTTGTGGACCTTTTGCAGGAAAAATGCCAATAAGCAGGTCAGCTTAGAATTGATAGACATTAACCCTTTTCCTCCCAAATAAAACACATTAACTAGCACTTTGGGAAATATCCTTAGAGAGGCGGTAAAGCAGCATACCAATAGCATTGTCAGTTGCATGGGAAGCAGAGATATATCTTATGGGAGATTCATATAATAATTTGTAGAAAGGTTCCTTTCAGATCTGTTAATAGAGAAATTGAAGTCTTCCTTTGGGGAATTGCTGCTTTGGTGGAATTTAGGTCCTCCATGCTGAACTGTGGCTTCTGGAGGAATGTGTTCAAAACATCTGGTTGAGTGTTCCCCTGTCTTTGGAACACACGGACAATAAGAGGAGGATGGAACAGAATCGTACGCCTTCTTGATTCCTGGGATTCCCTGATTTACCCCAGTCTGAAGCAGTTATACTGCTGTCTTCATACTTCTGTGTTTCAACTGGTTGGAGGAAGAAGGGGATATCAATCACCTGGGCTCTGTAGTTGCATTTAATTCTGAAGTGCAAACCTGGCTGGGTATCTCTCTACCTATGATTTTTTTATTTATTTTTAAACATATTATTGATCCAACACTTCAAGATTTCTGGCCACTTGCCCCATATTTGGGGAATCATACAGAGTCAACCTGCATGCTTGAAGGATGCAGATGGTTTTCCTGTAGTATCTTCTCTATCTCTGATGCCACTCAGTATATTAAGTCATCTATTTGGTTATCCCTCTTGCAAACCTTACCTGGATCAAGAGTAACAAGACCTGTAATAGGGTCTATATTTCCTTTTGAGCTACAAAAGCCTCCTTAGTTTTTATTTTAAAAGTTTATTTTTATTTAAAGGTTTCCATGGCAGCTCTCTCTAGTCACTGAAAAGTCTCCCTCCTGAAGAGCCTGGTTAGTGGTAACCAGTGCCTTCTTTGTCTGGGGATTGGTTTTCCATGGCCTTAGGCAGGGCTGATGTTGTGACACAAGAGTTATACTCATTGCTCTTACTGTAAATCCCCTCTCCCAAACAATCTCCCACAACAGCCACTGATAAGGAAACCTTTCTCAAAGAATGCTCCCAGACCAGAGATCTTCTGACCTAGAATGGCACTGTGGGCACTAAGGAATCTGATTATGCATGTGTGGCTTTAGCCACGATGTGGAAGAAGCAAATGCATGGATTGCTACAGTGGCTTTACTTGTTTATTGTTGTTTTAAATGCACACTTTCCATTTCTTTAACCAGACTTGAGAGTTGTATGAACTTTTTGGAAGTATAAATCAGGAAATATTTATTTGTGGGTGGAATCACTCCCCTTTTCCGCTTCCTCCCATGCTTCCCCTCTCAGGAGCTCATCTGGAGAAATATAAAGTCCGCAGACTGGTTTCAAAATATGCCTTCGCAAAAGAAAAACTGATTCTGAGCTTTCTCCTCTGTGAGCTCTGGCTCCAAGTCCAAAAAACCTGCCCTTGCTCCCAGGAAGATTAATATGAAGGACCCGCTGCAATTTCTGGGCCCTTTCTTGTCTGTTTTAGAATCTTTGCACTGTATTATGGTGAACTGGAAGAGAGTCCTGCACCTCTTGTTCTTTATTTTACTGGAAAAAACTTGGTGAGCAGAGTCTCATTAGCCTAGCAGGTGTGACATGGCTGACCTACGGCACAAGCAGGGTCCCATTCTAAATTCAGATTTAGAAATTCATTTTCTTTTAGTTTCCTCCCAACCCCCTATGTTTTTTCTTCACGTGGAGTTTACAGATACATTGCAAAATAATATGTCCAGAGCACAAAAAAAATTAAAACTCCTGCTTGCTTTAAATAGATACAAAAGATGAGTGGGAAATTCACAACTGCACTCCATGAAAGGAAGAGAGTCCAGTGGTTAAGGAACAAACCTAGGATGTGGAAGACTTGGGTTCAATTCCCTCTTCCACCAACTTCCTGTGTTACCTTGGGCTAATCACTGAGCCTTTCTGTAACAGACATTATGGGCACTGCCCTAAAGAGATGTCAGCTACTGGAAAAGGAGGACAATATTGAATACTTATTACTGTCCAAAAACCTAATACTTTACCTTGTACAACCCCTTCTGGCTGATAAACTTAAAGAGCTTCCATCTCTCTCCCTCTACCAGAGGGTTGAGAGGTGGGCAATAGAGCTCTAAACCCTGTCTTTATTAATAACTTTTTCCAAGCTGAAACACAGAAATTAACATGATTCTTGTAAGTTTCACTGATGCCTCAAGGGTTCTGAACAACAGCAGCAAAACTGACCAGGGGCTTGCTAATTTCATTCTGTTGCTGCTTGGCAAAGCTATGAGCAGCACCACAGACACTGCATAATGAAGACAGCACTGCATAGATTTACATTCAGAAGCTATTCTTTATAACCACATGGGATAAAAACTTTTTTCCTAAAGAAAGTTTAAATTATAGGTAACTACTGCAGGTCCACACAATTGCTAAGGCAAGCTTCTCAGTCACCAGGGCTAAGGAGATTTTTCAACCCATGGTGATGTCACATGAACACTAAATTTTTAACATTACTGAAGAAGTCAGAAAGCACCTTGGATTGGTTATATAGCAAACCCTACAAATGATGTACAAACATCCTGATAATCCACAATGACAGGAAAGGAAATATAGAAAATGCCCATGATAATTTAATAAAGTTTTAGATAAAATACTTTTTAAAATGTTAGACAGTGGTTCCTTAAGAGTTTATTACATTATACATATAAAAAAAAAAATCTCACTGGACTTTTACTGAATAAAATCCTATTTGACAAAGTCATCATCTAAAAGCAGTTTTTGTAAACAAAATTAATACAACTTGAATAGAAACATTGAAACACTACACGCAGAATCTTTTCACCTGCCAAAATAAACTTTATATCTACATGTCAATGAAGCAATAACCAATTCACATCAAGACACTGAACGGAATTTCAGCAACTTCCTGCAAATATCCCTCCCATTCTCTTTTATAGGTAATGAAATAGGACGCTCCCACACTCCTCAATACTTCTTGTCTTGTTTCTTCCTCAGAAGTTAGTGTTCCCTTTGTCTATCCAAGATCACAGTTTAAACAACGTGAAACGTCACCAAAGGAAATTCTCCTGCTTTAGGAAAGGCACCACAGGGCCTACTCTGAGCCTCTAAATACTGTTTAGAGTCAGATACAATATGATTTTAACTGCTTCTGTAAACTGGCTATGAGCACTCACTTCTAATAAACTCTTACATTTAAAAATTGTGTACTTACACAGTGTTTTTAATCGCATAGGAGCCTATGCATTATACACATTTAAAATGAATCATGAACTATAGGGTCCTACCCAGTTCGTGGTCCATTTTGGTCAATTTCACAGTCATAGCATTTTAAAAATCGTAAATTTCATAATGTCAGCTATTTAAATCTGAAATTTCAGGGTGTTGTAATTGTAGGGGTCCTGACCCAAAAAGGAAATGGGGGAGGGGGGTCACAAGGTTATTGTAGGGAGGTTGCAGTACTGCTACCCTTACTTCTGCACTGCTGCTGGCAGCCGCGCTACCTTCAGAGCTGGGCAGCTGGAGAGCGGTGGCTGCTGGCCGGGAGCCCAGCTCTGCGGACCCAGCTCTGCGGGCAGCAGCACAGAAGTAAGGATGGCATGGTATGGTATTGCCACCCTTAGCTTTGCACTGCTGCCTGCAGAACTGGACCCCCAATTCGAGAAACTCTGGTCTCCCCCATGAAATCTGTATAATATAGGGTAAAAGCACACAAAAGACCAGATTTCACAGGGGGAGACCAGATTTCATGGTCTGTGATGTGTTTTTCATAGCCATGAATTTGGTAGGACCCTAACTATACACAAAGTTTACCCTATCCACCACTGAAGTGCAGCAACCTCTGTGATGGAATGAATACCGCAACAGAGCACTCAGCTACAATAAATACCTGAGAACAGGAGCAGATCGGGAATTTAAGCAACTCAGTTTGGAGAGTAAATTTAAGTAGGAAAAACAAAACCTGTCAGATCAGAATCTGGCCAGTGGGATCTTGAATGACCACATGAAATCAGAGACTTGAGGTAACGTCTCACCCAAAAACCCTTCAAAGTGCCCTCCAGCATCACGCTGGGTTATTTGTTCAGCATGGACTCAAGAGAAGACAGCAGCACCACCACATTCGTCATCTTTTACAGATCAGTTTTACCTTCAGAGGCTACCAACAGCCCCCACTTCCCCTTACACAAACAGCAACCCTTTTCAGATCACTGTTCAATGGCTCCCCCGCCTCCTGGGGCCACAGGGCAGCTCCGAGGACCCCAGCAGTAGCTCTAGGAAACCCCCCAGGGCCAGAAAATGCCAACATAAATCACTTCAGGCACAGGTGCTGGAACTAGGGGTGCAGGGGGTGCTACCACACCCCCTGGCTTGACGTGGTTTCCCTCAGATCCAGGGTTTACAGTTTGGTTCAATGGCTCTCAGCACCCCCACTATACAAATTGCTCCAGCGCCCCTGGAAGCAGGAAAGTTAACCCCAAGAAGGGAAAGGGAACACCCTCTGCAACTTGCCCAGAGGACTCAAGGGGCCCCAGGGAAACCACAAAAGACTGCGTGCCCAGCCCGGCCCCAGACCCCCCTGCCCTGCCCTGCCCTGCCCTGCCCAGACTCACCTCCAGGCGGAGGGAGGCGCCGCAGCCGCGCAGGAACTCGCGGATGTTGCTCAGACACTCGCTCTCGGTCCGGGGCTCCGGGTAAACCTGCAAGAGAAGAGGCGCTGGGTGAGCGGGCTGCGCTGGGAGCGCGGGGGACCCCGCGGCCCGCCCCGGCTGATCCTGCCCCACTCACCCCCCTGCTCCCTCCGCAGGCGGCGGCTGCTCTGGGGCCGTGGAGGGGCTTTGACCCGGGAAGTAAACACGGAGCCAGGAAATCACGTGCGAGCCGGGGAGGGGCCCAGGAAAGTGCCGGGCCGGGCCCCTGCTCCCTCCCCGCATCGCTGTGCAGCGCCGGGTGCTGCTGCCCCGAAGCCAGAGTCTGGGGTGAGCCCGGAGCGAGGCCGGGGCAGCCGCCCCGGGGCTTCTCCTCGCAGCCCTGCAGGGACGGGCCGGGGGCACGGCTGCGCTCCCAGCCCCCGGCCTGCGGCGCTGGGCGGACTTCGGAGGCGAGGGTGCAACACACACAGTATGAATCAGGAATCATTCAATCTCGCTGCCGTGGCTGCCTTTACCTAATGGACAAACTCCGCGTGCAGCGCCATCAGTGACTAACCCAGCCGCCACCTGGGAGCCAGCCAATGCCCAGCACCCCTGCCCGGGGGATGGGAGATAACATGCCTCAAACAGACACATCTAACAGCAGCATTTGCTCCCTTTGTTCAAAAAACGGTGACTTTCCCTGAGCCCCGTGGAAAGGAAGTCCTGCCTTGGAAATGATGCTCGGTGCAACACAACTTCCTGTTGTACAGCATCTTTCAAACACACTGAATCTGCAAAGAGAGGGGTTTAGAACCAGCGCCTAAAATGAATGCAGCCCGGCTGTTCGGCACTTCACTCAGAATTATCACTTCTGTAGTATTACAGTCATGCCCAGGTAGGACCCAGAGGTCCATTGTATTGGAGTGCTGTACTAACATATAGTGTAAGGGAGGGTACTTGCCTCCAAAGAGTTTTCAACTGAAGGCCCACTAGTCCTGTAGTCTGATCCAAACAGGCAAGCCACTGTTCCTGTGCAAAGGCCCATTAAGTTGAATGGAAGTCCCACTGAAATCAAAGGAGTCCATACAAGTGTAGCAGTCTGGCCACTTGTATTAGATTGCAGGATTAGTGCCTAAATTTAGACACAAGTGGATGTAACAAAGCAAGTGAAGACAAGGGTAACAGTGATTTAAATGTGTGACAACACAGAGTAGATTTGCATGATCTTTATCGTTTTCAGTAACGGACGATAAAAAATGCAGAGTATACAATAAAAGAAAAGTAAAGAGATAATAGTGACCGCATAAAAAATTCATTGTACCATTAAAATCTTTACCTGAAAGTAAAAAAGACTATATTTTAAATCATGTCTGCTACAATGTCCAATCCTGCAAGATGCTAAGCACCACCATCTCCCACCAAAGTCAATGAAAGTTGAACTTAAGGGGAGAGGAGAGTGATCAACACCTCTCAAGAGGTGCTCAGTACCTTGTAGGAGCAAGTCCTTAATTTCTGAAGACCAAGACCTGGAAATCCCAATCCCTTCGCTGGCTCAGAACCAAACCAATATCCAAAATTCTGACATTTAAAAAAAATGAAATACTTTTCATAATTCAAACATCAATTAAGAATGCAATCTAATTTCAGGGAACATAGTGGGTATCACACTATGGGATGTAGTCTGTTCTTTGTTGTGCATGCAGTGTTCCCTTTGACGCCAATTTGCACTTCAAAATCAATCCGTATGTGAGAGGAGAATGTGGCCGTATGCCTTAAAATCATGAGTGGAAATCCCAAGAAAAACTTTATAGGAAAGCTTCATCTCTGCTTTACTAGTTATCAAAAAGCTAACACCAGACAGTGGAATTTAACAGTGATTATTAACTAACTTTCTTTGCTCATAGTCTACCAGACAGCTGTGATTTCTTAATAGTCCATTGCAAAGAAGGAAGCTTGCAAAGGGGAAAGACTTGACTGAAATAAAGATTTTTTTTAAAACGGAAGTGTCTGTGCTCCACAGCCAATTAGTGGTAGCTTAGGCACAGTCCTGCAAATGCTTAAGCACAAGCATACCTCCACACATGTAAGCAGTCCCATTAGCTTCAATAGGACAACTCACATGAGTAAAGTTCTGCATGTGCGTAAATGTTCGCAGTACCAGGACCTAACTTCACAAATAATTCTTCTGATTTCAATGGAAAAATGTACCAAGTAAGATACTGCTCAGCTTGAGTAAGGATGGGCAGAATTGGGCCCTGAATACATATCTCTATTTGGGAGGGAAAATATTGTATGGAATTGCAACATAAATGGGAGTTGAGGGGCCTCAGCACCATACAAGAATTGCCCATTAGATTATAAACGACTTTAGGCAGTGACTTTTTAAAAAAAAATTAAGTCATCTGTGTATGTCATGCATGCTTATGGCACTAGAGACACAAGTATAATTCTTCCATTATACAGTACTTGAGGTTTCCCTTGGAATATTTAACTCCTGAAATGTTGACATCAAGTTCTTTTGGGAAGGGACTGTGCCTTCCCATATGTTTGTACAGTGCCAAAGACATTTTGGGCTCTATGCTAATTTAAATAAAAGTCAATAAAATGGATGACTTGCTTGAATCAGGAAAATTTGAATTATTAGAAATACTTAGTCACAATCAGCTTCCAGATTTAAAGTTTAGATTGTAGCGAAGTCAGCGTCCAATTGGGGAACGACCATAAAAAATAACCGATGCCAACACCTTTAGATCTGGAGCCGAGTGACATGAAGCAGGCCAATTTAAGGTTTAAACCACGCGTTAAATCTTTAAGGAATTCTACATCTAAACTTCAGCACTCTAAGATCTAAGCCCTTGAAGATTTTTAAAATATAGGGTCTGTAAAAACTTAATGAAGGTGCTTAAACCATTGTTTTTGCTAATACTCTATTAGACATGATTGCAGGCTTAATGTTTCTACTTTCATGTTTGCTTATCTTTCAGCAATCAAGGTTTTAGTGTTTCTGTATTACATTCACTGAGTATATTCTATATCTATTGAAAATCAAAAATATAATTTAAAAACAAGAACATTTTCATAATAGACTACACCACACTGATCAGGAACCCCAGCAAGTAATTCTTTGGAAAAGGAAACAACGGTAGAAGAAAATGCCTGAAAAGGTTCATTAAGTTAATCCCTCTTGCATTAGTGGACTGTTTATTATATCTGTCATAAATATAAAGGGAAGGGTAAACCCCTTTGAAATCCCTCCTGGCCAGGGGAAAGTTCCTCTCACCTGTAAAGGGTTAAGAAGCTAAAGGTAACCTCGCTGGCACCTGACCAAAATGACCAATGAGGAGACAAGATACTTTCAAAAGCTGGGAGGAGGGAGAGAAACAAAGGGTCTGTGTGTCTGTCTATAGTCTGTCTTGGCCGGGGATAGACCAGGAATGGAGTCTTAGAACTTTTAGTAAGTAATCTAGCTAGGTACGTGTTAGATTATGATTTCTTTAAATGGCTGAGAAAAGAATTGTGCTGAATAGAATAACTATTTCTGTCTGTGTATCTTTTTTGTAACTTAAGGTTTTGCCTAGAGGGGTTCTCTATGTTTTGAATCTAATTACCCTGTAAGGTATCTACCATCCTGATTTTACAGGGGGGATTTCTTTATTTCTATTTACTTCTATTTTATTAAACGTCTTCTTGTAAGAAAACTGAATGCTTTTTCATTGTTCTCAGATCCAAGGGTTTGGGTCTGTGGTCACCTGTGCAAATTGGTGAGGCTTTTTATCCAACATTTCCCAGGAAAGGGGGGTGCAAGTGTTGGGAGGATTGTTCATTGTTCTTAAGATCCAAGGGTCTGGGTCTGTAGTCACCTAGGCAAATTGGTGAGGCTTTTTACCAAACCTTGTCCAGGAAGTGGGGTGCAAGGTTTTGGGAAGTATTTTGGGGGGAAAGACGCGTCCAAACAGCTCTTCCCCAGTAACCAGTATTAGTTTGGTGGTGGTAGCGGCCAATCCAAGGACAAAGGGTGGAATATTTTGTACCTTGGGGAAGTTTTGACCTAAGCTGGTAAAGATAAGCTTAGGAGGTTTTTCATGCAGGTCCCCACATCTGTATCCTAGAGTTCAGAGTGGGGGAGGAACCTTGACAATATCTCCTAATTGTTTTGCCTAATTTACTTTTGGACAACTCTAATGACAGTGCCTCAAACTCCCTCAGCAAATTATTCCATCACCCAATGGTTAGACTATGTTTCCTAAAGTCTACCTTTTCCTTTTCTCTCCTGTGTCTATGCTCTGTATTGTGCAATCTTAAATATTTTCTTCTCCATGTTATCTTTCAGGTATTTATAGATTGATCATATTCCCCCTGGGTCTTTTCTCTAAAACGTATACATATTAAATTCCCTTAATCTCTCTTCATAGTTTGTAACTTCTAATCCCTTTATCGAGGGTAACCATATCTTCCATTTTGGCTGGGACAGTCCCTTTTTTAAACCTGGTCCTGGCCATCCTGACTTTTTTTTTTTTTTTTTTGGCAAAAGTGGGTATTTGTCCAGTTTGCTGTTGGCAAGTGGCTTGGGCCAGCCCTGCATGGGGCTCTGGCAAGCAGCTGAGGCCGGCTCTGCATGGGGGAAGGGAGGCTTGGACAAGTGGCTAGGGATAACCCTGTGCAGCGGGAGGGGAGGCTTGGCCTAACCCCACACATTATTCCATTTTCCCTTTGGGAAATATGGTCACCCTACCTTTATCATTTCTTTCATCCTCCTCTAGATTGTCTCCATTTTATCAAGATCTCTTTTCATAATGAGGAACCCCCAAAACTATGCACAGTGCAAAAATAAGAATGACAAGTAACAAGTCACTATAAATCCAAGTTTCTCTCATCAGAAACAAATTCCTTGTCCACCAAGTGATTCTTGTCTTGTGACTCAACCAGGTTTATCTCTTTAACAAGCAATAATCCTTATTCCTAGGCCCTCAACTAGCTAAACACAGAATTCGGGAGTTTTAAAGAACCAAACCTGTGTCGCTGGCCCAGAAGCCATAGACATTATCTCATAGGTGGCTGCAGTATCT